TGGCCATAAGTGGAAATTAGCGGGAGAACATTTTAAAACAAATTTGAGGAAGCACTTCTTTACACAGTGTGTAGTTAGAGTATGGAATAGTCTTCCTGCTAGTGTAGCGGAAGTTAAAACCCTGGGTTCCTTTAAATCAGAGCTAGAGCTAGAAGATTTTAACAACTCTTAGCTATTAGTTAAGTTCTCCCCAAACGAGCTTGATGGGCCGAATGGCCTCTTCTCGTTTGTAAATTTCTTATGTTCTTATGTTCACAAGCAGCTTCTGACTTCTGATTGGCACGGAAGGAAAAACCAATTTGGCGTCACTAACAGGATCAGAGAAGAGACCCAGGGAGGTGACCACCTGGCATAGGAACCGGAGCACAGCTGTCTGCCCTGAAGGGGGCGCCCTAAGGAAGGATAAGAAAGGGTTTTCATTATTGCATGAAAAGATAAGGAAATAGAACAGGGAAAAGGAGATGGGGGGTGTCTCAGGGGAGGGACCAGGCAGAACCTCCCGCTAAGGGCACTCGCCGACCAGAGAAGAACTGGGGGGAGGAGAATACAGCGAAATATTATGAGCCAGTGGAGAAAGCGAACATATATGGTTTTGAGCCGAGACAGAGGAAGAGCATGTACAGTTATCAGATCTGTTGAGCATTAAGGTGCAGAAATATTTGGTTCAATAGTAAAACGTTTATGGAGTCTCAAGAGGTAGCGAGCTTTAATGCAAAAACATTCTCTGTAGTATAAATACAGGTAGGTGAGATAGATGGGGCACATGGAGATGTAAGAATGTAACCCCCCGGTGGCAAGCACCGGACAGCTGGGGAGGGAGAACCCCCTGCGAAAAAAGATGAGATGGGGAGGGTGTCCAAAAAGTGGGAGAATACAACAAAGGCGCTGGGGGCTAGGTGGCCTAAGGGGGGGGCACATGGTATGTGCAAGACAACTACCTCCACCTCCGGCAACTACCCTCCAACCTGCCTGCCCTTGGCTCAACACGATGCCTCGCCATCCATCCTGCGGCTGTGTGTCTATTAATCCTGCCATCGTGCATCAAGCACCACGTGCCTGCACCGGTCGGCCGCTGCATTGAGACTTATATTTCAGCCCCTGTATTAGCTTAGTCATTTCATCTTGTTTGTTTGACTCATCTGCCGGCCCCTGGAGGATGGGCTCCCCCTTTGGGTCTGGTTCCTCCCAAGGTTTCTTCCTCTTAGGGAGTTTTTCCTTGCCACCGTTGCCTTTGGCTTACTCAATGGGGGGTCCTTACGAGGCAGAAATGTAAAGCGCATTGAGACAATGTAATGTTGTGATAATGCGCTATATAAATAAAATTGAATTGAATTGAATGTGGCGCTGGGGACTAGGTGGCCTAAGGGGGGGGCACATGGGATGTGGCGCTGGGGGCTAGGTGGCCTAAGGGGGGGCACATGGGATGTGGCGCTGGGGACTAGGTGGCCTAAGGGGGGGCACATGGGATGTGGCGCTGGGGACTAGGTGGCCTAAGGGGGGGCACATGGGATGTGGCGCTGGGGACTAGGTGGCCTAAGGGGGGGGCACATGGGATGTGGCGCTGGGGGCTAGGTGGCCTAAGGGGGGGCACATGGGATGTGGCGCTGGGGACTAGGTGGCCTAAGGGGGGGCACATGGGATGTGGTGCTGAGGGCTAGGTGGCCTAAGGGGGGGCACATGGGATGTGGCGGCATGTGACGAGACAGAGACTCTGATAAAGTATTATAAGGCTAATAAGAACACAGAAAGGCGTAAAAAGATAAGGAGTGAGGAACTGGAGCTTCTGAGGTTATATAAGGCAAAGGGAGAGGCCTGGAGGAGGGAGCAGAAAGGGAGAGAATCAGCCCTTGGTGGATCTGGGGGAAACGATGGGACAAAGCAGACAGTCTGGGCACTGATGCAGTGTGATGGGGTGCAGACTGAGAGTCAGTGGAGTGCAGAGTGTGTAGGAGATTTAAGAGGTTTGAGTCTGTGGAACATGATAGGAGTGCAGTGCGAAGGGAAATGAAGTGCGGAGGAATGCTGGTAGGAGACCTACTAACAGCCTAGTGACATCAGCTAACCCAGGTATAAGGAAGATGATAGAAAGGTCATTACAGGTAGGGGGTGCTGGTGTTTATCACCAGTAACTGCAATGCCTCCTTCCTGCCTGTCCCAAAGGCAGGAGGCGGGGATCAATCAGGAGGCGGGGATCAATCAGGAGGCGGGGATCAATCAGGAGGCGGGGATCAATCATGGCTACGTGCCTAACTAATCCAGTCTGTGCAATCTCTGATTTATGATTTTGACATTTAAGTCAATCCATATCCCAACACAAAAGAAGATCTGAGATTCTCTGTCAATTTTGTCTCAAGTACATATTTATTGGTGTAACACTGCAATCATTGGTATAAGAAATACAGCCTTGTACACAGAATACAAATATAACTCCCTCTGGAAAAATACATTGCTTCCTCTTCACAGTGATTTCAGCAACGCAGGATGCATATAACTGTGATTTTAACTGACATTGCAGGTAAATCAGTCCCATTAAGAGTAATAAACATTAAATACAAGATCCATCCATCATCCAAAGACTTATACTCAGCAGGGTCACCATGATGGATGAAACATACACTTTGAATTATACTCAAATTTCAAATATATCACCAACTCTTCTGCTTTTTTCAGGAATTAAGTAGTAGATTTAATGGTCAGACTTTACTTTACGGGGCATGAATAATGTAGTACAGGTTTACTTAATGCATTAATTAACCACTAACAGAGTGTTTAAGTACTGATCCAAAGCTTGTTCGTCATAAATTAATCAATTCAGGAACTATATCAGTTAATGGATAATTTTAGATAATGGTAAAACTTCAATTGACACTTCATTTACTACTCAAGAACAAATCATGAACTATTATATGATTCCCCATGAAATACATGAACTGTCAAGATTTATTAATGATGAATGAACATGTGGTCAGTACTTAACAAACACTTAGTTACTAGTTAATTGATGCAATTAGTAAGCATGTACTACTACATTATTCACATCACCTCAAGTAAAAAGTTACTGATTTAATGAAACCAAGTTAGCCACAGACTTCCTTACAGAGTGCCTTATATGCAGCTAAGTCCGTGGACAACAAACACGAGGTGAAATATAAACAATTCATAAATCAAAACGTGTGTAATTGCCTGAGTGCTTCTGAACTTGGTAACATTTTGATGATGATTATTATTATATTGCTACTAACTGCTATACCCCTTTGATTTGATACTCACTAATAAACGATGGTAGAATGACACAATACTTATTAATGAACATAGTATCCCTGTATAGTTCAGGCATTAAATACACGGGGAAGGACATAATTTACTAACCTCACCTTTCTGAAAACAACACCTCCCTTAGCTTTGAAGAGCTGGTCAATTGGGAAAGGACAATCTTAAAATATATCCATTTAAAAATATAATTGAAGATCAAATTGGTAGAGCAAACATGCCTAATTCCAAAGCGGTTTTCACGGATACTTTTTTTTGACAGAATGAAACAATTTATCACTAGTGCATATTTTGCTGTAAAATTGGCCACTCCCCCGTTAGTCCCGTAAGCTCTTAGTTAGACACTTGTCTTTCTTGCTTTGTTTGGTTTTTTGAATTTTTTGATGTTTGTATACATATCATTTATGCAGCCAAAAATATCCTGTATAGATTTGGTGCCAGTTAGCTACTGCTATAAACCATATGTAGTACAGTTTAAAGTGTGCAGATCTAGCTGATCACAATATTTAAATCTAACTTAGGCACATTCTCTGAAAGAAAGAAATTAAATCCTTTACATAACACAATACCCCATGCACATTACTATGATATCCCAACACGTACTTATTCAAACTGCTTGAGAAATGCCTTCCTAGTTCATGTAGCTAAACTTTTTGCTGCTTAACCGATATACTTCTCATGCCAGACAAATAGTTGTGACATTTTACATTCTAATTGGACTTGATAGAATTAATCCACAATAAACTCCTTTAAAATGACAAAATGTTACAATGTAGCTTTTAGTACAGCAGTTCTAAGATGTATGAACCCTGGGCGTCTGCTGGTGGATGCTGTCTGCAAGTTGGGAACTCAAAGTCTGCGTCACTTAGCTTAACTGAGCTTGACCATTTTGAAGAGTGTGGGCAAGCCACCACTTTGAACAACCGAGCCAGACTGACCCATCCAAAGCAGAGTCCTGGCATCTCCGTATTCCCCTCCCCATCTGAAGAAGAACTGCTTATCCTCGATAGGGAAACACCGTGTTACTTCTTGTGCCTGCGACCACAGAGAAAAGGGAAGGTAGCTTTTAGTCCATTGAGCAAAGGAGACACTTCCTGCCATATATTACATATGGTTTGATTTAGCCAAAAGATGATAACAAATAATAAATTAATCACTGATAATAGTAATAACCAAACATCATGACTATGATATCAAACAATACAGGAATGTGTTCTTACTGATTACGCTGTAGTGGTAGGGGTGAGGAAAACGACTATGAAGAATGACCAAGAGTTCAACTACAGAATCTGGCTCTCCTGCTATATATAACTAAGACATTTCTCTGTGTAATTAACATGATGACAATACGGCTTGCAAATATGAAGGGCTGAAAAGGCACGGTCCTCAGTAAAATTAATTCCTGAAGCTACTATTACCAATAGACACAAAAAACAATCACCTTGAGAGATCCATCTTTGACAGTGAGAAGAAAGCATTTACCGCTCATCTGAATATGGAATGCCATATGGACTGAGCGATCCTCTGCACAGGCTCTGTATACCTGTATTTCTGGGATAGAAAAACAACAAAATCAACATGAGTATATTTAGAAATATGACACAGCAGCATCCAACAGTTATATCTTCATGCCTGCTGCTCAGGGGTCACTTTCCAACGCCGAATCCAAAAAATGGACATCAGGGTCACTCCATCAACTCCTTAACGGTACCAGGACAGCTTGATTACTGTTCGACGCACGGTATCAATTACCTCTGGGCATGAATTGATCAGTACCTTTACTAAGGCGTGTCAAATGTTGAACGCAGTGCCAGCATCAACAGTGTGGATGTTGACAGAATGCCTCCACTTTTTGAGAAGACGAAATAACTATTGAGTAACATTGCCTAGTGTCAAATTCCATGGGCATTTGGGAAAGAGACTTAGTCTCTCCAATGGTTCTCAAAGTGAGAAAGTGGTTATTAAAACATCCAAGCTAAACAAATCATTCGGAGCTCGTTTGGATTCATTCCAGGCTGCTCGAGGATCAGCACCTCTCCACTGACATTCATCATTTCATCCCCCTGTTTCTTCCCGAAGTTTCTATCCATTCTCCCAGACAGACAGACAGACAGACAGACAGACAGACAGACACACACACACACACGCACGCACGCACGCACGCACGCACACACACACACACACACACACAAATTCATGTCTTTGTGAGTACACTCCATTCATTTCTATGGGCGTAACCCTAATGTCAACTATGACAACCTCAACACATAACCTGCCCTAACCTTAACCATAAGTAACCAAACAAAATACAAGACTTTTGGCAATTTTTGATTGCATTCACTGATTTTTATTAAATTGAGTTTCTCCTTGTGGAAACAGAAAAAAACCTCCCCAATTGGAACCTTTGGTTGTCACAGTGGCTGTCAAATGTACCCTTAGCTGTAGGTAAATGTACTTTTTAAGGTACAAAAATGGATTCTGGGGAACATCCCCAAGGGACAAACAATATTAATGTAACCCTAATGGTACAAAAATGTTCCTCATAGTCAATTTCTGTACCTTAAATGGTACAATTAACCTTAGCACGTTTTTGACTGTGGCCGTAAACCAGAGGGTTTTACACCTTTATTATAGAAGGTATTTACGAAAATGTAAATTGTGCAGAATTCTCCTAATCTACTCACTGCGCTTCAAAGAGTTCTATCGTGTTGTCCGCGCCCAGGAAGACTTGCCTGCCGTCATCAGTCTCCAGCACACATTCAACGCAGGAGGAAATGCACTGTCAATAAAACGGTTAAGTTTACAGTCTAACCTTAATCATTCGTAGTAATACTATAAAGTTTGCAGTTCGACTTTGAACTCTTGTTTTACTTTGAACTTCATGGTTACCTGTTCTGATGTTTAGTAATTTAATTCACTGTAAAAAATAAAAAAATCATGGTGGAACTTTGAAAATACACAGTAAAACTGTTTATAGGTTTACTATGCAATTTCAAAGTGCGATTTTCCTGGGATCTTCCTAAGAGCAGAAAAAATATTAACAAAAACGAACAATATGCATGCATAATTTAAATAAGAACTAATTAACTATTCAGGAGTAGACTGTGGGGTTGCAATTAAAATGTAAAATCTTCAGATAAGCCATGAAAACTGTGGAGTTCGATTTATTTACAAGACAAATAAATGACTTGCAAAGTCTAAAATATAAATGGAAAGGACGCCGAGCCTCTTACCTTATTGTCAGTCATGCTGTACCGTAGCCCGCTGCAGCCAGATAATTTTCCAGATAAAATCCTGCGTGCCGATGCCTTTTCTCTGCAAATTATCCAATATATATACTTCAAGCTGTTCCGTTTCTCCACCCAAATCTATTACGAAAAAGGCGGAGACCGTATAGTTTCCCTTACGAAAATTATAACCATGGTTTTACTATGATTAAATAACCATGGTCTACAATGGTTTGCCGTTTTTCATTTTTTTTTTTTGGGTAAGTATGGACACCATGACTAGTTTTTATCATGGTTTCGCTATACAGTTAAACCCTAGTATAACCTTGGTCATAAACCATGGTTTTTGTTTTACTATGGTCATTGTTTTATCATGGTCTTTCCAAACCATGGTTGTACTATGGGTAGTACCAAAGTACCATGAGGTACCATAGTAAAACTATGGTTACTGCATAAAAACCATAGTGAATTTTCATAAGGGTTATTAATATAAATATCCATATTCCATAACCTTACATACATGCAAGACGGACTGTCTACCGTAGGGACCGGGGACAGTCGCCGAACAGACTTTTAAGGCACTATGACAGCCGGACCTACGTTTCGGCTCGTTTAGTGCTCCTAGCAAGCTTACGAAGCATGTACGTGTCATAGGCCACTAAAATATGCATACACAGATTAATGACTATATATATAGATAGATTTGAACAAACAACATTGTTCCCGGTCCCTTATTGTAATTCTAAGGACTTTATTATTCGGAGGGGGGCACGCTTTGATTTCAACCGTCTTCTTCCTAGCGAAAAATGCATGTATGTTATTTAGCAGACGCTGTTTTCCAAAGCGACGCGCCAGCCAGGCGTTCAGCGCCTTATAAACACGGGGCTGTCCGGGGGGCAGGCTGGGTACGTGCGCCATGCTCAGCTTCCATGGGAGTCACGAAAGATCGTCCAAGAACTGCAGAAGCTAATAAGACAATTCACGGACGATAGGTGCAACATTAAGAATGCAATCCAAGTGTACTCCAATAGTAGGACTAAAATAAACTACAGTCGAGCACGGTTATTACGATTTTCTGGGGCCGGCAGATTTCTTTCGTTATAACCGAATTTCGTTATATCCATTTTCATGTAAGATTGCTATGTATTATGACTGATCGCTAGGCACATGTATTATGACTGTATAAAATAACACTGACCTTCTAGTTCTGTCTATGAAACTTTGTTTCATGTAATGATCAAAATAAAACATCTTTTTTACTATCAAGCAACGTGTATTTTATAATTCAACAACCGTTTAGTATGGACCACGAAATCGATAACATATTACATGGTGGTAGAACGCTACGCACAGAAAAAAGGTACATATACCGGTACATATCTATCAGTTGAAAATGAACTCCCCACAGTGATTTTCTGAAAATATTTAAATCGCTATTATTTTCCTTATCAAACACAATCAGATTTCATTACAATTGGAGCCCCCATTAATAGAAAATTCAAAAAATACCCACAGATGTTACTGTAATCTTCTATTCGTAAGCGATATTTGGGCGCCATCGCATGAAGCGCAGACGGCTACTGCACAGACCATTTCTGCTACGCGATTAAGCTGACGTCGGACTTATTTTAAACTATTAAATCTGGAATGATTGAGGCAAATCGTTATAACCGAATAAAAATTCATTGGAATATTTCTTTGGGGAAGACAGTATAGACATCGTTATAGCCGAATTTTCGCTATAAAAGAATCGCTATATGCGTGTTTTCTTTAAGGAATTTAACGTTACTGAAGGTCGGGGATTTGGAATCGAAGCGTTACAAGCGTGTTTTCGTTATAAGTCGAATCGTAATAACCGTGGTCGACTGTACCTGGAAATGCTGTAAATGCGTCACAAATAAGGAGTGTGCTGTGTATAGGCTATATATACCTGTTTTGATTTTGGTCCATATAGCACACGTACAGAATTTACGTCTAAAAACAACGTAACATTCACTTCATTTGCTGACTGCAGCGACGGACCAGTTTCTGATCCGTAGTCGATGTTAATATATGAGGCAAAACTCTGGTATAAGCGGTTGAAAGAAGAACGGATGATATATTTGTGAAAATCAATAACACATACTGCGTTACAATAAATGAACAGACTCCTTCGTCAAGTGATGTCAATACTTTTTAATAAATGCTCTTTGTATAAAGTTATACATTAAAATCTATTTTTCAAGTAAATAAAAAAATCTGAGATAAATACAGTGCCGGCTGGTCAATAGAGGGCGCTAGTCTAAAGGGATTTTCATGTCAAAAAAGTTTTGCTTGATAATATTGGCACAAATCTGATTCCAAAAACATGCATATATTATTAAACAAAAAAATACTTATTTTTACGTGTGAATGTGTTGAAAATTAATGAAAGCGACTGTCTCAGTTGTTTCTTTTTACTTCCCTCTCTTGTTGTTCGTGATGCTCAGTTGACAGAGTGCTGTGTCTAATATTCGCCCCTGAAGCCCAACATCGCCTCTGTCATTCGAAGTGGCTGGTATGACTAACTTGACGGGACTAGAATGGCCTTTAGGATATGTCTCCAGGTGGAATTTTTAAAGATTCAGAAGTTTTGCGAGTCCTGTGATGATAATTTCCATTATTTATTAATTTGTTATATACAACGGCACCATTGACAGGTGCCACTGTAACGAGATAATTGATGTTATTCACTTCACCTGTCAGTGGTTTTAATGTTATGGCTGATCGGCTGACCGGCGCTAATCCAGAATATTCCACTGGACTTCTGGACATATTAAATGTCTGTTCCAGCCTGTTGCCTACAAATAGCATTACTTTTTCATACTCCAGCAGCTATGACAAAATGAATGGCTGGTAGTGACTTGGTCATTCACAACTTTTTGAAAATAAATATACAGACATTTAAAAACAACACCAAGACGCTATTGGGGTAAATACATTCAGTTAACTGAAATAGCCCTGACTGCGGTCATTCACTTCAGTGGCGCATTTCCAAGGGAAGAGACATGACAAAAATAGGTATTGTAGCCTTCATTTTATTTTAATATAAATTAAATGTCACAATTAAAATACATGATGTGCATAAAACGCATTATGCGATTCATCCTAACCAGTAAAATGCGCTACTTTTACATTTTATAGCGTAACAAAAATTCACGAGATAAATACAAATGACAAGTGCTTCACTGTTAGCCACGGGCAACGATATCTTAAAGGAACAAGAATTCAATATGATTTCTCATTAGCCACAAATTGCATTTTGACATCTTAATTCATCTGAAGTAGAGAGCCATTGCAATAGCGTATTTTTGCAACGAAAACAAAACAATTTGTTTTGTATAAAATAACATGTTATATGTGACTTAAAATAAATCGCCACCTAGTGGCGAAGTGCGTTAGCTCTTGAAGGGTTGGTATTTTTCAACCAAACGACATCAAAACAATGAGGCACATAGTGTAGTTGTACTTGGTACATACATACAAAGGCACTGGTAAATTAACAAATAAAAAAGGCTTCACACCTGTTTGACCATGAAGGATGTGAGACGACTGCTATCCTGTGTGGTGCACATGTCCACACGTTCTCCGTCCTCCATAGCGGTGCTGATAAACCACCCGTTGTACTTGGCAGACTCAAAGCTGGTCATGGTCAGAGCAGAGCCCCTCTTGAAGAACAGGAAGCGCGCCATGTCAGCTTGGGCACTGATGATTTTCAGCTTGGAGCTACTGTTGACCTCCTGAGGGAGAAGAAAAGGCAAACTGGGATGGAAAACTAGTTGCTGGTCAGACCACAAATACAATCAATCACTGGTAAAAGCCAGACCCATGTTAGATTTTAAAACAGGTTACTCAGCACAGTTTACGTTGTCATAACCTTCCTGTACTAATTGGTTGTACTAATTGTATTAATTAACTAATTTATTCAGCCATTCGTCACCCAACTGATGATCCAAATACAAATGTGATGCAGCACTGTAACACTCTGCATGGGATGCCAGTCCATTACAGGACGCATGTGTTTCGATTTATCCATTTACTGTTTTGTGTCCCCAAACATGAAACTACTAGACTCAAAAAGTACTTGGGGAGGAACTTGAGCACACTTAGGGAGAAACAAGATGTCAGATTTCCTCTAAGTGTTTTGAGACGACCAAGTAAACAACCATATTTATTCCATTTGTTCATTTTGGAGACCATAAATACCATTCCACTTCAAACAGCCGTAACCTCAGTGCTTGGTGCACTCGGTATAAATTCACCCCATATGTTACAGACCTCCAGCTGGAGAATGGGTGTTTCTTGCTTCACGGAGCATGACAGGTAGAGGTTGGTCCCAGCGATGCCCAGGGCGACTGGTTGAGCGGAGCCACCCGGTAGACTTGGACTCACATATGTCGACAGGTTCAGTCTCACTGCAGATTGAACATGATTTTGTTAAGGCTATTTCCTAACCACCTCTTGGATGAATTATATACCCACTTAAACAGAGGTTATTGTACCAATGATTATGCTACAAGATTAAACTCAAGCTCTGGTAGCCTTATCACAGGATTGATAGTACATGTCATGCCCTGCTTGTGCTAATCCTCCTGTGTGCTACGCCCCCCTCGCTACCTCGTGTGGAATCCCCGTGTTATCAGCGGTTTCTTGTTGTGTCTAATTAGTCCTGTGTATTTAAGTCCGCATTAGAGTATGTTTCCCCAGTCCGGGCATTGACGTCTTCATATCGCTAGTGTTTCTCTGTGCTCCGGATTGTCGTCCCTTTAATAAATCCCGTGTTTTGCCTATATTCCTGGACTGATTGTTTTGGTTCAGTTAGCTGAAATTCCACGCTTGCCATACTGACCGCAGACGCTTCTATGAATAAGAGTATCAGTCAAATGGGCATTCAAAGAACAGGAAGTGGGAGCCTGAACTTCCCCCATTGAAAATGTCCAGCATTCATTGGTACAATGGTTTAATTTTGAATTTCCCAGAAATAGTTGCATGGGTGGGTTACCTCTGTGACTGAAAGTGCCACCCTGCAGCCACATAGCCTGCAGCTCAAGGGCCTCCTCGTGCAGCACTAGGCTCTTCTGATACTGGTCACACACGTTGCACTCCTCCATCCGGCTCGTGCTGGTGAATACTGTGTCACTGCTCTGTGTTTGGTCAGCGACATCCCTCACCACACACTCTGTGGGGGAGGAAGAGGGGAAGAGATTTTCAGATGCACAGTCCTGCTTTAAGTCGCTAAGATTGCTAGTGTTAGTAAATAGCCAGTAGAGGGTTCATCATACTATAGAAGTAAAAATCCAAATGCTTTTCATTATGGAAAAAGGAAGTAACTGTATTCAAACTAAGGGTTTAAAAGTCATTGAGCTTTCCTCTACCTTCAACAACACTCTCCAGCATGATGTTGAGCAGCTCCTGGTCACTGAACTCTGTGCCCTTCAGCCTTTGGTTGTTCTTGATCCTGTGCATGGTGATGATGAGGTTGGCCACCTGCCGCATGTTGTGAGGGTGCAGGGTGACTTCCAGCTTAATCCCAGAGTGCAGGTCACACAGCGATCCCTCCCGCTGATCAAAGACAGTGAACAGGAAATATTTTCATCCATACATCAGATGTTAGATTTTATGGATGTAACTATCGCAACTTTTTGGGTTAGGTTTAGGTGCTAGATGCTAATTCTACAATCAATTATCTCTGAATTAGTTATACAAAAAAATAAATAACAGAACACTGAGTACATGTACTCATGTGATGCATGCATCAAAACTTTAAGCTATGGACTTTTGACAGAAGCTGTATTTGTAAGCTGTTGCGGTAATACTGTGTAACAGAAAATCTTTTTTTCAGTGAAACCCAAAAACGAGAAGCTTCCCGTAAACCTACATGGACCTAAAACTGCACTTTAGAGGAGAAAAGCCAGGATTTCTCACCTTAAATGGATGCTGTGGGCTCATTTCGGATTTAACACCACATCCATCAGAGCTAAAAAAACAAGGATTTATATTACACTTGAGGTTACATAAACTGATTATCTTTCTGCGTGTTACATACATATTTAATATTTCATTATACATTATACCATTTATTTGTCAAACTATATTTATCATACAGATTTCAGGTGTCTGGCCAATGAAGGGCTACATCTGTAGTGCACAGCCTGGTCTAGTTCACTAATTGAATAAACTGAGCCAATTATTGCAATGATAGAAATCATTTTATTCTATTGAAAGACACATAAATTCCATTTACTCATTTATTGCTTTTATCTAAAGCGACATACAGTACAAGAAAGGGTTAGAACTACACAGGTGTTTGCTCAGGGATGTGAGCCCATGACCTTTGTGTTAACATCACAATGCTCTATGCGCTGAAGTACAGAAAAAATCGCTCACACATCAGAACACTATCCAATTATAAATGTGTTATTCAGCATGATACCCTCTTCATTTCTCATCAGCAATCATCAGACCAGTTCACGTACCCTGATACTCAGTTGAAACTATCTCACAGTAGAAGTAAATGCTACCAGACTATGTGTGCATATGAATGTTATTCTACGTATAAAACTGTAACACAGTTTTTTTTAAATAACAACTTATGATGGGTTTTACGGCGAAGCTTACCATTCTAGGGCCTGGCTCAGGTCGAAACCAGCGTTACACATCATGTCTGCAAATAAGTCCGAAGTAGAACAGTAAACTGGATGTGTTGTTATAATATTGAGGTTCTGGTGTAGATCCTTCTTTGGAAGTATTTCAAATTTGACTTTCAGACTCGCCTATTTATGTTCGCATTTTGAGGAAATTCTGTTTCACATCCGGTTGGGGATCTATTGTGTAACAAAGAAACAAGTTAATAAATGTGAATATGATCTTTGTTGATATAGGTATATTTTCTAATATACTTCACTCTGAAATTGACAGTTCTCCGTAAACTAGACAATTCCATTCTCATTCACGATTTATTCACATTAATCTTAAATGGACTGCTGTTTTAAGTTTCGCAATAAATAATTGACATGGATATAGACATTCTCTTTTATTCAGTCTTGGAGTTAATACCGACAACAGATTAATAAATTCATAATGTATTGTCATTTTAAGAGGGCGTGATGGTTTATTGGGTAGCATTGTTTGGGCTTTGAAGCCTACTCTGGTTTCCTCCGGCAGTCCAAAAAATATTTTTTAAAAAATTCTTTAATTCAGCCAGTTGAACCAGTTTTTATACATGGATCTGGAGCAAACAGGTTAAATTTGCACAGAGTCAGTGCTTGAAGTGAGCCGACACTGGAATGCAGTACCTGCACCTCTTTGTTTTTCCCGTACTTCTCAATATATGCTGGTATTGAGTAACAAGGGGGGGG